CGGCCGCCTGGGGAAGCGGCAGGAGCAGCAGCAGCAGCACGGGGGAAGCGGCGGCGTGAAGTCTGGCGAGGGAGAGCGCGGGAGGGAGCGCTTGCCGGGAACAGATGCGCCACGGAGGTTCCCCTGGCCACGGGGGCGGCTGGACCCTCCCCCCCGAAATAGAAGGCGTTTGGGCTCAGAGAAGGAGGAAAAGGGCTCTGGCTGAGTTCTTGGATGCTTGTAAAGGACAGAACAAGCCCGATCTCGTCAGAGCTCGGAAGCTAAGCGGGGCCGACCCTGCCAAGTAGATGGATGGGAGACCTCCAAGGGATACCAGGGCTGGGACGGAGAGGCAGACCAAAATCAAGCCACCTCTCTGAAACGTCCAACCCCCGGTTGCCAGAAGTCACCATGAAGAAGAGGAGGAGATTGGATTTATACCCCGCCCTTCACTACCCAAAGGTGTCTTAGAGCGGCTTACAAACTCCTTTCCCCTTCCCCTCCCCACAACAGACACCTTGTGAGGTAGGCGGGGCCGAGAGAGCTCTGACAGAAACTGCTCTTTTTTCAAGAACAGCTCTTATCAGAGCTACGGCTTGCCCAAGGTCATCCAGCCAGGTGCAAGTGGAGGAGTGGGGAATCAAACCCGGTTCTCCCAGATTAGAGTCTGCGCACTTAACCACTACACCAAACTGGCTCTCTTCCAGGCTCGCAAGCAGACGCACGCACGCTCACACAAATACCTGGATAGGCCAGGCAAGCCCGATCTCATCAAATCTCAAAAGCTAAGCAGGGTGGACCCTGGCAAGTATTTGGATGGGAGACCTCCAAGGAATGCCAGGGCTGGGACGCAGGGGCAGACCAATATCAAGCCAACTCTCTGAAATGTGCCTGCCCCACTAGGGGTCGCCAGAATTCAGCATGACTTCCACAAATGCAAGCACATATATGCACACAGACAAAATACCATATATAGGAAGGACCAAATGTCTCTCCCACTCTGGGGACAGAAACACGATCGTTCTGCTATGGCTGATCACTCTTAACTGGATTTTCCTGAACCGCATCCACTCATGGTTGGATATTGCACCATCATTGTCTAATAGCAATCACTTGCAACTGGATTGGCTTGGCTGCCACATGAGAGCACTTTCCAAGGATGTGTGGATGCCAGTGTGTGGGCAAGACAATCCAGCAGCAAGTGATTGTGCTCAAACCATGATGATGGCACAACATTCAACGGTCTGGGATGTGTAGCCTTTCATTTTGAATGGCTTGTTTTTATATTGTGACATTGTTTTATTCGCAAGCCACCTTGAGCAGGACTTTGAAGAGGTGGCATAGAAATATCCTAAATAAAATAATTAATAAATAAAATTTGACTCCTCCCCCTCCACCTGGACTGCTTGCTTTGGATTGTGTCTGCATTGTTCCTCACCAATGTTGGGCAATTCTGCATCTAGCATTTGCTCCACATTTTCTCAACTGGGAAGGAAAAGGTGCAGCTCAAAACCACATTCAGATACCTCAGGGCAAGGCAGTACTGACTGCAAAGTCACCCCTGAATGGCCACAAATCTATGCAGAAGGTACCATAAAATCCAATGATCAAAGGAAGCGAAAGCAGCATGCAGTGTGGAGGGTACCATAAAATCTGACGATCAAAGAAAGTGACAACAGCGTGCGATGCAGAGGGGAATTTCTGTTCCAATGTGGGCTTCATAAAACAATGGAGGGAAAAGCCAATGCAAAATCGCCCACTGTGAACTCTGCCCATAGAGCAGCACTTTTACAAGATCCATTAGAAGAGTTTGTAAAAGCATGTGATGAGGTGAATTGTAAACTCAATTTAAATGGGAGGCTTTCCTTCTGTTTAAACTGGGTTGCCTCCGCTATGCCTGGCTGGATTCTTTTAACTGATGACTCTCAGCTGAATGAAAATGTTTTTCACTGCTGGGAGAGATGACACCTGCTGAGATGATCTGACACCTATGCAGCAGCTAACAGACTATGTCTGTTACACAAGTTAGAGTACATGGAACAGGCATCTCCAATGTGGTGCGCACACCAACGCCTTTTCTGGTGCCTGTCTAGTGTTTTTAGAAAGTTGGGGGATCAGGTGGGTCTTTTACCCAGCCAGTCTTCTGATTTGCTATGGGAGATATGATTGTGAAGATTTTTTTAAAAAAACATTGTTTTGGCAGCAGCTGCCACTACAGTACAAGGGTCTTCTTCACTCTGTAACTGAGGGTGAGCTGTGGCAGCCATTTTGTGGCTGGCACCACCTCCTGCAGCAGCCACTGTGTGGCCACCATTCTGTGGCTGCATCCACCACGCTGTTTCAGGATTCCCAAGTTGCCCTCAGGATCAAAAAGGTTGGGGTTCCCTGACATAGAACATTGACAGCGCAGTCCTGTGCAGAGTTACTCCAGTCTAAGCACCTAGAAATCAATGCTGAACCGTTTCGACCACTTGGTGGTCAAATAGGAATGACATCTGGAGGATTCTAGTTACAGCTTCTGCTGTTACCGTGGGTGTTCTTTGCAGAACCAAGTTTCCAAGATCAGCTTTTGGGGATAAGGGAAAGCCAGAAAAGACATTCCAGACACACTGTATGCACTGTATTTGAAAAATGTATTTTTATGAATACAGTTGATTCTACTTGTTGAATGCAACTATTCATGATATCTGATAACTTTTGATGAGTTTACACTTTCCCTTAAGCTTTTGGATCTCACTTTTTTAAAAACATAAAAAACTTAACTGGGAAAATATATTTTTGTCACTATTGTTGCATTCATTTTGCATTACAAGATACCAATTCATGACATCGTTGCGCATGAAATGGATCTGAACCAGTTAAAAGTGGTTGAGCTAATTATTGAAGCTTTCTTTTAAAAATATGTGTCTGTAATGGAACCACCTGATGGGTTAGGTTAGCTCGATCTTGTCAGATCTCAGAAGCTAAGCAGAGTTGGCCCTGGTTAGTGCTTGGATGGGAGACCACCAAGGAAGTCCAGGGTCACTCATGACCCAGAAGCAGGCAAGGGCAGACCACCTTTGAATGTCTCTTGCCTTGAAGACCCCATGTGGGTTCACTGTAAGTCAGCAGCGACTTAATGGCACTTTACACCCATGCACACGCACACACATGTCTCCTGGAATCAAACAGGAATTTCATTAAATGCTGATGAACCTGGATTAGAACTTAATCCAAATGCTTCTACTTCTTGACTTCCATAAACAGCTTTTGGGATCTTGCCATTCATTTTTCAGTGGCACATCAACGCTGGTGTTGTTCCTGGAGCTCCATGCAGAGGATGGAATATTTTCAGTAAATGCAGCACATGGCTTGCAAGCCTATAGAGCAAACGACAGAGGAAAATGTTAAAATACATTAAATTCTCGTGTACCAGGGTTTAAAGATTATCTGCATCTAATTTTGGGTTTGCCAAATCTTTATTGAACAGCCTTCATCCCTAGACCTCATAACAAAACACCATCCTGAGTTGGCCATGGAAGAGAAGGAAGGAGGGAGGGAGGGAGGGAGGGAGGAAGGAAGGAAGGAAGGAAGGAAGGAAGGAAGGAAGGAAGGAAGGAAGGAAGGAAGAGAAGGTGTTTAGAACTAATGCAAGTATAGGAGAATCAGAAGCAAAACTAATGGGCAAATTTCTGCCACATAAAAGTATAACTTTTCCAAGAGTTCTGTGTGAAGATGATTCAGTCTCAAATGGCGAACCACACAATTCCTCCGTGTGTGCCTCTCCGTACAGTCATCAACTCATTTGAACTGGGCTGATTTGTCTACATGTACATTCTGTTCATTAATGTGTTTATACACTGCCTGTCAATTCTTGCCCTAGGGTCTCCCACCCAGAAGGGTGATCAGGGTTCGTATGTTTGACTCCAACACGGCTGTGGTATCTCGCTCTCACAGAGCATTCACACCTCCCCCTTCCACGTGTGCATCCACAGCATACCAGTACCAGCCTCTAGAGTTGCCAGCTCCAGGCTGGGAAATACCTGGAGATTTTGGTGGTGGAGCTTGAGAAGAATGGGGTTTGGGGTGAGGAGGGACTTCAGTGGGGTATAATGCCATAGGTTCCAACACCGAAAGCAGCCATTTTCTCCAGGTGAACTGATCTCTTGTCACCTGGAGATATGTTGTGATCCCAGGAGATCTCCAGCCACCACCTGGAGGTTGGCAACCATACCTGGCTGGAGACCAGTTTGTCCGGGGGCTCTCCAGCCACCACCTCCTGGGGGCTGGCAACCCTACATCTCTGCTACCAATAAAGGTCGTTTTACCCATAGCGCTCTTAACGGTGGAACTGGCAAAGAACCAAACGTTGAAAACAAAACGGGACTGATATAACTTCATGTTTTATGCAGGGCTCTAGTCGGGGGGGAGCTCTCAGGTACGGAGCTCCGGAAGAGAACCTCTAGGGGGCGGGGCGGTCACGTGGTGAAGCCCCGCCCCCTTCTTTACTCCGCCCTCTGCTTCGATCCTCATTCCATTTGGGAATGAGGATGAAGCAGGAGGGTAAGTAGCCGGGCCTTCTGACACACTTCCGGTGATGTCAGGGGGTGTGGCCTTCTGTCACTTCCGGTGATGTCAGGGGGCGTGGCATATGCAAATAAGTTATGCTAATGAGTTATGCTAATGAGCTCCGGCAGCTCTTTTTCTACAACAAGACCCCTGGTTTTATGGGACAGCTCCAGTTTGCTTGTGGGGTCCCCAACCTGATCTCTTCCCGACTTCAGGTCAACCTTACAAACTAGAGATTTTAAAATGGGCTGCGGACCTCTCTCTCCCCTCGTCCTAGCGTCTACTTTTTGGTGCCCCCAAGGTGGGCTCGGAGGTCTGTGACGCGAACAGGAGCGCTCTCTCTTCTCACTCCCCAGCGCGCAGAAACGCCTCTTCCTAACAACGGAACTCAATATTCGAGTTTAATGTGCTACAGCCGGACAGATTATTGCGCCGGACCCAGACAGCGGAAATGGTTTACGGGGGGCAGATTACAGAGACGAGCAGGCTGGCCGTGGCTTGGTTCCTCGTTGCTCAGGGAATAATGTGGCGGAGGAGCGTTTTCGAGGTCGGGAGGTTCCGGGCTTGCCTTCGTGGCCGAGGAAATGACCTCGTGGCTCAGGACAGGTACCGGTGGGGGGGGGGACAGCAGCAACTCCACCGGGGTGGGCGAAGCGGAGAAGACGGTTGGTGGCAAGCCGGGAAACATCATCCTAGGGCAGAGAGTTATCTCACCGTGGGCGAATAGCTGAAGTGTCCTCCTTTCTCCCCATAGGTAGGATGTAGGGCTGCTGCTCGCTACCTGTGGCTTTCGAGGGCAGCCATACTGCATGTAATAGGTGACATGAAAGATCTCTGCTGCCTTAGGTCCTGGTCCCCGATAGACTAGTTGCCAGTCAGGGTATGAGGTTATGCTGACCTTGATAGGCCAGTGGCCTGACTTGATATAAGGCAGTTTCATGACGTGTTTGAGGTCTGTACTGGTGCAGTCTGTTCTACCACTTCAGCCAGCTCAAATGGCAAAGTTAATGTGTATTACATAAGAACATAAGAGACGCCAATGTTGGATCAAGCCAAAGGCCCATCCAGCCCAACACTCTGTATCACACAGTGGCCAAAATAACCAGGTGCCATCAGGAGGTCTGCCAGTGGGCCCAGGACATTAGAAGCCCTCCCACTGTTGACCCCCCCAAGCACCAAGATGACAGAGCATCACTTGCCCCAGAGTCCCTATCTATACCTTGTGGCTAATAGCCACTGATGGACCTCTGCTCCATATGCTTATCTAATTCCCTTTTGAAGCCGTCCATGCTTGTAGCCGCCACCACTTCCTGTGGCAGTGAATTTCACAAGCAGCACGATTAGAATCAAACTATTTATGCTCTTAACCTCACATTGCCTGATTGGGACAATGCTACGCAAGTCTACTCAGAAGTAACCTTCATTGCATTGAATGGGACTTACACCCAGGAAAGTGTACTTAGGATTGCAGCCTGTAACCCTCTTTACTTTCCTTCCCTCCCTGTTTAGTCAAGTCACAAAGTTATTGATAGGTCCATTAACAATTAAAAGAGGTCTTACTCATTTATTTAAATATTTATGCCTTGCCTTTCTCCCCAGTAGAGAACAACAACGTTGTTCTCCCACCTTCCATTTTATCATTGCAGCTACCATGTTAGGAAGAAAATGGTTGATAGAAAGTTATTATCCCTAGGTCACCCATTGAGTTTCATGGTAGAGTGAAGATTTGAACCTGAGTTTCTCCTATTGTAGATCAATGCTCTAACCACTACTCCACGCTAGCTCATTTTATATATATATATAAAACCATTGGTTCAATGAGTATAGCTCTATTAGGTTGTATATTAACCCTTGTTTATATATAATGCTGTACAATTGGTTGTAGATGTACAATGTTGTACAGTGTTGGTTGTACTAAATACAAATTGTCAAATAAAAAAAACCTTAAAAAAAGAAACTGATTACCAAAAACTAAAATGTAGAGGTTTGTAATGGTGAACATATAATTCACGTTGCTGCTGAGGGTTTTCTTGGTTTTAAATCTGTTTGTTACAGCTTAAAAAGTAAAGGATACTGTGAAAATCTAGTACCTGGTAGAGTTCACTAGAGTTGTAGCATTTCTGAAACAAGCCGTGCCCAGTATGTTAGGAGCCCACTTTGTTCTGGAATGAAATACTAGGTACCACTTTCAATAAAGATTCTCCTTTGAAAAAAAGCATCAGTTTTCTCAGATCTCAAAAGCTAAGCAGGGTCAGCCCTGTTTAGTACTTGGATGGGAGACCACCAAGGAAGTCCAAGGTTGCTACGCAGAGGCAGGCAATGACATAAGAGCATAAGAGAAGCCAATGTCGGATCAGGCCCATCCAGTCCAACACTCTGTCACACAGTGGCCAAAAATACCAGGTGCCATCAGGAGGTCCACCAGTGGGGCCAGGACACTAGAAGCCCTCCCACTGTTGCCCCCCCCCCCAAGAATACAGAGCATTGTTTGCCCCAGACCGAGAGTTCCTTGTGGCTAATAGCCACTGATGGACCTCTGCTCCATATATTTATCCAGTTCCCTCTTGAAGCCGTCCATGATTGTAGGTGCCACCACCTCCTGTGGCAGTGAATTCCATGTGTTAATCACTCTTTGGGTGAAGAAGTACTTCCAGATGTTCTAACCCGACCGCTCAGCAATTTCATTGAGTGCTCACGAGTTCTTGTATTGTGAGAAAGGGATAAAAGTACTTCTTTCTCTACCTGCTCTATCCTATGCATAATCTTGTAAACCTCTATCATGTCACCCTTCAGTTGTCATTTCTCCAAGCTAAAGAGCTCCAAACGCTTTAACCTTTCTTCACAGGGGAAAGTGTTCCAACTCTTTAATCATTCTAGTTGCCCTTTTCTGCATTTTATCCAATGCTACAATATCCTTTTTGAGGTGTGGTGACCAGAATTGTACACAGTATTCCAAATGAGGTTGCACCATCAATCTATACAGGGGAATTATGATACTGGCTGATTTGTTTTCAGTTCCCTTCCTAATAATTCCCAGTGTTGGCCTTTTTTATTGCAGTTGCACACTGTCTCAACATTTTCAGTGGGTTATCTACTATGACTCTTGGTCAGTCTCTGCCAGTTCGGACCCCAAACCACTTCTCTTTAACTTTTGCCCTGAAAGCACTACAGGGTCACCATAATTTGGCTGCACCTTGAAGGACAACAAATAATTGCGATCTTTGTTGCACATTTGGAACTAGTGACACTTTCATTTTTGTGATGGCAAAGCGTTTGAGAAACTGCATTGTTAACACATGGATTCATACTGAAGATGTAGACCTAAAAATGCCTGTATCTCTTTCCAGTAAGCCACACAAGAGTTTTGGCACCTCTGCTGTCTTCTGGACTACGAAAGATGAACCGGTGCCTCCAGTCAACAATACTGATAAAAAGACTGATGATAAGAGTAAGGGGGAATCAACGCAAGCTACTGCAAAGAAGAACTTGCTGAACGTCCTTAATGAAATGAAGGTAGAAATAAGTTCAAAGAAGACGTTTCTGAGGTTGAAAGCCCAGAAAATGAAGGCGCAAACAGAGGACTTGCCAGAACGTATGGAGAGCACAAGCAGCATGTTCCAGAAAGCTGCAGAAAACAAAGCTAAGAGGTAAAGGACATCAAATGAGGCTGATAGTCATAGATTCTGGGCAGACAAAAGGAAATACTTCTTTATACAGAGATTGATTAAAATGTGAAATTCACTGGTAGAGGATGTAGGGATGGCCACATGAATAGACAGCTTTAAAAGGGTACTAGATAGATTGATGGACAATAGGTCCATCAGTGGTTACTAGCCATGGTGACTGAGGGGAGCTTTCACATTCAGAGGCAGTCAACCTCTGAATCCCAGCGCTAGGAGGCCACATCAGGGGAGGGTCTCGGCCTCTATGCCCTGTTGTTGACCCTCCAGAGGAACTGGTTGGCCACTGTGTGAGACAGGATGCTGGACTGGATGGACCACTGGTCTGATCCAGCAGGGCTCTTCTTATGTTCTTATATATGCATTTCAAAAATATTTCGGGGCAGATTAGAGGCAGTATGGGTAGTAGAAGGAACGTTCATTCACCCAGAAGTGTAGTAAAGAATGCTATTCATTCCCAGAATAAATGGAATGTTTACTAACAGAACAGGAAGAAGGAGCTTGCAGGGCACTGAATCAGTTGGAATGAAATTGTCCTGCCTCACAGCTTGTCAGCCTAAGCTGTGTTCATGTGGTAACGATTCTTTGTGTAGCTCTCATTGCCACTGCAAATGCAGGGCATTCACAGTGGACAGTGGCACATTACAAGAACGTAAGAGAAGCCAATGTTGGATCAGGCCAGTGGCCTATCCAGTCCAACACTCTGTCACACAGTGGCCAAAAATCCCAGGTGCCATCAGGAGGTCCAGCAGTGGGGCCAGGACATTAGAAGCCCTCCTACTGTTGCCCCCCCCAGCACCAAGAATACAGTGCATCCCTTGCCCCAGATTGAGAGTTCCTATCTATACCTTGTGGCTAATAGCCACTGATGGACCTCTGCTCCATATGTTTATCCAGTTCCCTCTTGAAGCCATCCATAAAGCAGCTTCCCCAAAGTTTTTTAGCCTCCGCCGCCTGTGCCTGTCCCCCCCCCCCCCGTTGGAGGACTTTTAAAATTGGCAGTAGTTAGGTGACTATTTCACGATAAAGTTATACTAATCTGTTGCCATGATTACCAGCTCCTCTGGGTTCATTTAAAAAAAGAAAATCTAGCCCTTTTATTGCAGAGAAGTTAGGAGCGCAGCCTTGGATTTAGGCTTACTTTTGCCGCACAGTGGTTCAGTGCCAAGTGTGAAACTGCGCTTCTGCTTGCAAAACATATCTGCACGTGGGAGAGACACCCATGGTCAAACTTGTGGAAATAAAAAGTGTTTATTTTCCCCACAAGAATGTAAGAAGAGCTCTGCTGGATCAGACCCGTGGGCCATCTAGTCCAGCGCACTGTTTCACATAGTGGCCAACCAGTTGCCTTGGAGGGCCAAACAAACAGGACATAGAGGCTGAGACCTTCCCCTGATGCTGCCCCCCAGCAATCTGTTTAAAGAGGCAAATTGCTCCTTTACCTTCGCACTCCACGATCTCCAGTGGGTGTCAAATGTGTACATGCGGGGGGGAATTATGCTTTGCGTTCCTCCTGGTCACAGTCAGTTCAGAGGGGAAGAGACAGCTTTTCTTGATTGGAAAGGATTTGCAGTTCCCTATGTCAACGGATTTTTAAAAACACATAATATATGGAGGCTCCGTTCAGTCACCATGGCTAGAAGCCACTGATGGACCTCTTCTCCAAGAATCTGTCTAGCCCTCCTTTGAGCTATTTGTGCTCATAACCATTACTACCTCCACTGGTAGTGAATTCCAGAGTTAAATTACATGTTGAGTAAAGAAGTATTTTCATTTCTCTGTACTGAACCTATTTCCCAACAGGTTCATTGGGTGCCCCATCTAGATTATGGGAGACGGAGAAAAAGCCCTCTTTATCTACTTTCTTCACCCCATGCATGATTTTATAAACCTCTATCATGCCTTTCCTTAGCAGTCTTGTTTTCCTGGACTAGAAAGGCCTAGACTCCAGCCTTTTCTTATAGGAAAGGTGCTACAACCAGTGTTTCCTCTGAGCTGAGTTAGTGTGAGCTAGCTCACAGTTTTTTAGCCGCTGGCTCACCCATTTTTGTTTTAGCTCAGGAAGGATGGCTCCAGCACAAACTAGTTCATGCAGTAGCCAGATCGCTCGCTCACAACTTTAATGCCCGTAGCTCACAAAGTAGAATTTTTGCTCACAAGACTCCACAGCATAGAGGGAGCATTGGCTACAACCCCCCCCCCCAAATTATCTTGGTTGCCCTCCTTTGTGCTTTTTCCAGCTCTGCAATATCCTCTTGAGGCACGACGACCAGAACTGTACACAATACTTCAAATGAGGCCACACCTTAGTTTTATACAAGGGCATTAACGGCGGCCGTTTTATTTTCAGTCCCTTGCCCAATAATTTCAAGCATGGAGTTTGCCTTTTTCCACCACTGCTGCATGCTAGTTTGGCATTTTCTTTGAGCTTTCCACTACAACCCCAGATCTCACTCAGTCTCAGTCTTAGCCAGGTCACACGGTAAGGAAGCAAGGCGTGCTGGACTGGAGCCAGACTAAATTGGCGGTTTCCACCAGTTCCCACCTCCTGCTGTGGATCCACCCGTCTGTCACTCCTTAGGGTCCCCTGTCTCCCAGGAGCAGCATTGTACAGAGATCTTTGGGAAGGAGAAGGCACAAAAGTTCACCGGCGTCCTACCTTTTAGCAACCCAGCTTGAAATTAAAAAACTTTTGTGACTGGAGTGAGATTCCTCCCCCCACCCCCATTTCTATGTATGATTAGGCTGAAGGCTGTGGCCAAAAGTATCATAAAACGGAAAAAGGAAAGGAAGGAAAAGGAAAGGGATGTGAATGCAGGTCACAAGAGGCCAGTGGTGCAAATTCCGATGTCAAGTCACTGCTGCAACTGTTGTCTCTGATTATTTTCCTGTGATGACTAAAACTTGGGAAATGTGGGCAGAAGGGGATGGGTCAGTGTTGCTCACGCTTCTCTCTTCCAGCAGCAAGCCACTCAGTCCGGAGCTTCTTGCAGCTGCCTCTGCCGTCGCCTCCTCTCTGCCGTTGGACAAGAAGAGGACCGTTTCGGAGTTGCTCCAGCTGCTGAAGAAGCAGAAGGACATCACCGAGGCACGTAAAAGTGGAGAAGCCCCTGACATAAGGTTGGCAAATGGAGCCCCATTCCCACGGCGATCCTCGCCACGTTGCTGCAGTTGAAGTCCAGTGCACAAACAAGTGCTGGCTCAGTGTTCCCTCTAGGCTGAGTTCGTGTGAGCTAGCTCACAGTTTTTTAGCCTCTGGCTCACCCATTTTTGTCTTACCTCAAGAAGGATGGCTCCAGAGCAGACCGGTTTATGCAGCGGCCAATTAGCTCACTCACAACTGTAATGCCGGTAGCTCACAAAGTAGAATTTCTGCTCACAAAGACTCCACGGCTTAGAGGGAGTATTGGCTGGCGTTGGTTTGGTTCTGTTTTACTTTGATTTTTAAACTGATGCTCTACTTTAGAACCAGATAATAGAATATTGTGGTTTCATTGTAATGGGTTGATGTGCCGTAAAATGTCTTCTTTGTACCTTTGCCTCTTTTTATCTTCACACAGTTTTCCCCAAAGAGGTGATATTTGAACAGTAACTGCAGAATAGCGTTGACCAGGGGTCCACAGCATTTTTGAGCCTGTGGGCACATTCTGACACAGCCACAAAATGACTACCACAAAGCAGCTGCTGCAGGAGATAGAGCCAGCCGTAAAATGGCTGCTGCAGCTTACCTTCAATCACAGAGTGAAGATCCTCGTTTTGAGACAGCCCCTGCTGCCAAAGCAACATTTTAAAATATCTGCTCAGCCAATCAAATCTCCAATGGCCAATCAGAAGTCTTGCTGGGCAGAAGCCTCACCCACTTACTAAAAACACTGGATGGGCACCAAGAAAGGTGTCAACAGGCACCATGGTGCCCATGGGCTCTGCATTGGGGACTGCTGGCTTTGGCAAAGACTTGGCTGTGACACCAGTTTGGTGTAGTGGTTAAGTGTGCGGACTCTAATTTGGGAGAACCGGGTTTGATTCCCCACTCCTCCACTTGCACCTGCTGATGTGACCTTGGGTCAGTCACAAGCTCTGGCACAGCTGTTCCTGAAAGAGCAGTGTGTGTCAGAGTTCTCTCAGCCCCACCCACCTCACAGGGTGTCTGTTGTGGGGAGGGGAAGGGAAAGGAGTTTGTAAGCCGCTCTGAGACACCTTTGGGTAGTGAAGGGCGGGGTATAAATCCAATCTCTTCTTCTGTCTTCTTCTTAGTATAGACCCCACCCCCGTCTTGAGGAGAAGCTTTCCTAAGAGCTGGTCTAACACTTTGCTCCATAGTGCTTCTTTAGCCTTTCCTTGGACCTCGGTTTGCAGAGGATCAGATCTGTCTTTCAGCGTCTGAGGAGGAGGAAGACCCCAGTAGCATGTTGGAAGGGGGAGGTGGACCTCCTTTGGGAAAGATCCTTTGCTGCTTATGGAGACTCGTCAGTAGCGGCGTGGCGTTAAAGACAGGAATGTGGCAGTCAGCCCTTGTCTGCTTTTCTGCAGTTAATGATGAGCATCGCGCTGTTGGCTCTCCTCAAGGTGCTACTTTTAGTTGACTTTAATCTGCTTAGAGCAAGATAGGTAACAACACATTCAACAAAAAGTAATGGTGTATTTTTAGTAGGGCACATTTGGAGGCTTATTTGAAAGCGTTGCAGCAAGCAGGCGAAAGTGATCTTTATCAGATGCATGAAGTACTCTAGAAGACGGTGTATGTGTGATACGTACATATAGGAAGACAAACAGTTTTGTGACAAAATAGCAAGGCTAGGACTGCCCAGACGTAACTGAAGCATGTGGCGGGACAGGTAGGGAAAACTTACCTGTGCAGTGTTGTGTTCTGTTTACATGGGGCCTTCCACTGCTACATGTACCATATTAGCATGTCAGTACATCTCCTGCACCCTGACCTGGATGGTCCAGGCTAGCCTGCACCCTGTAGATCTTGCAAGCTAAGCAGGGTCAGTACTTGGATGCAAGACCACCAAGGAAGTTCAGGGTTGTGGTGCAGAGGCAGGCAATGGCAAACCCCCTCTGAACATCTCTTGCCTTGAAAACCCCATGGGGTGGCCTTATGTCAGTTGTGACTTGATGGCAAAAAATAATAATAATCTCCTGGCATGGGGTATGGGGTCACGGCTGGGCTATTGTTTCATGAACAGCCAGGATGAACTGGTTCAGCTGAGATGCCAGGTGTGCGCAGCACTTTACAACTAGGCCATATATCGCAGCTGAACATCACTCTTCAACAGAACAAAGTTTGAGTCCAGTGGCACCTTTAAGACTAACAGAGTTTTATTCTGGGTATAAGCTTTCGTGTGCAAAACACACTTCTTCAGATACAATGTAGTGGAATTTACCAGTCCATACATACAGGCAGAGGGTGAGCAGTAAAGTAGCATACGACATAATGAAGATGTTTAGCACATTCAAGGACCAAACAGTAAGAACAAGCTTAGTTTATATGGTTACCATTTGTTTGGGTTTAATTCTGGGGGAGAACATAGTGAAAGAAAGAAATATGTCAACATTGGAGATTGATGGGCAGATGTATCCTTAACTGTAGAATGCTGAGAGTAATTAACTGAGACCCTGCCATTACACTCCATCCATCTCCTTTCAAGCATGGAGGCAACCTTACAGCATCTTCTTCTTTGAAGTGGGATGGTTGGCTGTGTTGAGTTATCTCCCCTGTCCCCATTCCAAATTACATTACATTCTACTGGTCCCTGAATCTGTTAAACATCTTTATTATATTGTATGCTAATTTACTGCTTACCCTCTATCTGTATGTGTGGACTGGTATCTTCCATTTCATTGTATCTGAAGAAGTGTGCACGCACAGAAAAGCTTATACCCAGAATAAAACTTTGTTGGTCTTAAGGGTGCTACTGGACTCAAACTTTGTTCTGCTGCTTCAGACCAACACCTGAATATGACCCATCTGAATATGACTTTTCAACTTCTCATATCAAACATACTGTCCAAAGTTCACTAACAGAGGCAGCCTTTTGTCCGATTCTCCACGCATTCAGATGAACACACGTGTATAAAGCAGTAGTGTTTATTAAAGCAATGAAGAAGCTGGAACAACAGGAGTGTTTAGAATGACCCAATAGTGCAGGGCACAAGATAATAACCAGATTCATACAAAGACATAACCAATCAATATGGTTCCCGCTTTCACGGGTGGGTTAAACCTCGCGCCGAAAAGCCTGGGAGCCAAACGGCCAGAAACAGATAAACAATTATTTCATTCCCATGCGCTAGCTCATTATAGATAACAGCAAAGACACCACTCCGCACCTGTTAACCCTGGAAGATAATACGTTACAAAGCATACTACTAGCGTTCATAGAATGGAATGTCGGCCTCAAGCAATAGCAGGGGGAAGAAAGGCTGGCATCAAGAGAGTATACAAATGTTACACAGAACTCTTTGGCAGCTAGCTGACACCTTTCTTCTGTTCACATAAGAACATAAGAGGCGCCAATGTTGTATCAGGCCAAAGGCCCATCCAGTCCAACACTCTGTGTCACACAGTGGCCGGAAATACCAGGTGCCATCAGGAGATCCACCAGTGGGTTCACCATTTTGGGGTAACTGTTCTAGAATTTTTCCATATCTGAATATTAAAAATCTTTTGTTTCCCCTTTTCCCTCCCATATTTTACATTGACTGTTGGCGAGTATGAAGCAGTTTGTTTTCATACTATTGAAAAGCTGGTTTGAATCAGCTTGCACCTGCTTACTGTTTTCGAAGCATGTGAGATGTTTAGCCTCTCCTAACTTGTCCTTTTCAAAGTTAAACTGACCAAACTGAGCTCTTTGAAGTCAGGCTCTCCATTTATCTGCGGTGTCATCTTGAGCTCCTTCTTTTGTCTACTATAACTGTGTGTGTGTGGCTTTAAAAGTTTGGTTTGCATGGCTGTGATGATAATCTAGAGTGCTGGAATCAGGCAAGTGATATGATTGGTGAGTGACAGAGAGGGGGAGGGGTTTTGGAATGGATGCTGTGTGTTAGATATGACAGTTGATGAAGATCAGTTAAGTTCTGATTTTTGTGAGAGAAGCAGAAATTCTGTGTATGAGAGGAGTGAGACCCATGCCTGTGTGGGATGAGTTTAGTTCTGGGGTCTGAAGGAGAGACCTTCTTGTGTGTGATATGAGAGTTAAGTGCTGTGTCTGAAAGAAAGTGACAAGCAGTTCCGTGTTGAAACAGTTATAAGCTGAAGCTGAGTGTCTAGGAAACAGTAAAGATTATATGGACATGAAGGAAAAAGTGTTACAAAGTTACCTAAGGAAAAATCCCTGTCAGTAGGGAGCAGACTGTGTGTTATACCTACTTTACTAGTTACATTGTTCTACCCTCATATTTATGCTTTCTTTAAATAAATCCTATTTCATTCAAGTATACCAGCTCTGGAAAGAATCCTTCCTCAGACCACATAGTTCCTCGAAAGCTTAAACCCTCGATATACCTACCCAGTGATGAATATTATATTATAAAGGTTTGGAAAGCCTTAAATTTCCTGGTGGCAGCCGGATTACCCAGTAGAGAAAAACATAAAGTACACTTTTAAAGGGAAACCAGACCTCCCCAGTAAAGGGGTCGTCACACCCTCCCTTTTTAAATCCACCTGATTCTTGATAAGAAAAAGGTTGATACTCTTATTGTTCATTACTGCAGTTATACTGTATTCCACTTCTCTTAGTCCAGTTTGAGATCCAATTTGCCTTTCATAATTTCCAGGTGCTATTTTATGTTAGCGTTAGAAGGCAATGCTGAGTTGCTGTGGTCTGCATCATTCATCAGAATATTGGAACCTTCTTCTGGAAGGCCACTAACAACATAAATAAAAGAAGTCCCGGAGAATGCCTCTGGTTATTCTTCTCCAGCTGAAATGTTTACCCTGTGAACAAACCCCTTTGGTTCTCTTTGTTTTAACCACTTATTTACCTATACAACTCTTTTCTCCCCAATCGAGACTCAAATTGGCTTTGAACCAGCATCCTTTCCTTCTCCAGTTTATCTTCACAACAAGAAAAACCCTATGGGGTTGGTCGGGCTGAGTGTGAGTGACAGGCCCAGGGCCCACCCGGTGAGCTTCCTTGGCAGCCGGGGGTGGGGTTGGACCTGGGCCTTCCAGATCCTAGTCTGATACTCTGACCACCACACCACATGGGCTCTTCTTCGAACTGAACAGTCATTGTGTTCATACCCATCTTTTTGCATTTAACTAGGCGTATTTTCTCTGGTTTATTAAACATTCAAAAAAGGATTATCTCTATTACATAGCCCTTTAGAAAAATCACATTCTCAAATGAATATAAATAAACAAAGCACTGTTGTTGTTTGACATGTTCCTGCTTTTTTTTTTTTAAAAAAAATGGTCATGTGGCTTTCTGCCAGTAAATGACATTTTAGTTTTGTTTTTTTAAAATGCTTGCATTCATATGGCAAGGCCTCTGGATGTCACTGCTCTACCAGATCTTCACCCATCCATCAGTTTGTTTTGGAGACACAGGAAGAGCTGAATGTGAAATGGGAATAACAACAGTATTGGGATTTGTTTTTCTCTCTCCAAGGGGTGGGATGAGGTTTCTCTCAGTGGAAACTGTGGCATCACTGTCCGAAAATTAGAGTTAAAAGGGTGGAGCTTCATTACAAATCAGACAAAATCCAGAGTTACGATGTGTCCGGAATGTCTTTGAGTGAAACAGAGTCGATACGTTTCCAAGAAACATGTGCGTTGGTAGATGCTTGTTTGGTGGAGCTTAACAGCAGGATGCTCTCTCCCCCACACAGTTTGTGTCAGAGTTCTCTCAGCCCCACCCACCTCACAGGGTGTCTGTTGTGGGGAGGGGAAGGGAAAGGAGTTTGTAAGCCGCTCTGAGACACCTTTGGGTGGTGAAGGGCGGGGTATAAATCCAATCTCCTCTCCTCCTCTCCTCCTATAGTGACAGCCCAGTATCGAGAGAACCCTGATCATCCCACGCTGCACTCTGTTCTCCCTAGGCCTCCTGGGGTTTCAGCTCAGAGGACTGTTTGTGTGTAACAGGCCATCGAGTAGGCAGCCGACTTACCGTGACCCCCTCATCCAAGTACTAACCGGGGCCGACCCTGCTGGCCTTCTGAGATCTGGAGAGATCAGGGTAGGCTGGGGCATCGAGGTCAAGGCTCAGAGGATTTGACTGTCCCAAAAAGTGGGGCACGTTTACGCGTACAGCAGTAACTTGCTTGGAGGAAAGAAGGGCTCTTTTAGAGGAAGGGAATTTGCTTTTCCGTCTTAGCGTGGCAGCCAAACAAAGGGGCATGCCAAGCTGTTTCATAAAGAGATGAGGCTAGAAAACCCTTGCTAGACCCGCTAAAGCCCAGGTCCCTGAACAGTTGTGAGAGTGAGAAGGTCACTGGCGAGCAGAGTAGAGCAGAGCCGTCTTGGAAACTTCCTGAATCAAAAAGTAACTGCTAAGGAATGGTGCTGCTCAGTTTACTTGGCTTTTTTGCTGCCGTCTGTATATCTAAATCTGGTACGCTAAGAATCACCCTGTCTAAATATTTCTCAAGGAAATATTGTTTTCACTGCTCAAAATCAGAACTTTTGTTGTTATGTTTCATTTTTCCCAAGGATTGTGGGTGCTGGGGCGGGGACGCACATTGTCACGGGTGGCCTGACCTCCATGTCTTGGACAGAGCTAGAGGTGTGCTTAGTGTCAGAGATGCAACTGGATTAGGTGCCTGCAGATCCAATTATTTAAATACTACATGGTTTCTCATTTTCCTAGCCTGCATCCTAGGACAGGGTATTTGATAATCCCTTGTGAACAGTGTTCCCTCTAAGCTGAGTTAGTGTGAGCTAGCTCACAGTTTTTTAGCCTCCAGCTCACACAGTTTTGTCTTTGCTCAGGAAGGATGGCTCCAGAGCAAACTAATATATGCAGCAGCCAAATCGCTCGCTCACCGCTTTAATGCCAGTGGCTCACAAAGTAGAATCTTTGCTCACAAGACTCCATACCTTAGAGGGAGCATTGCTTGTGGATCAGTGTAGCTTCAAGTCTTCTTCTGCTGCCTGGCTGAATTCTGCTCCTTGCTCATTTGGGATCTTGGAGTGAGAAGGTAGTTGAATCCGTACCCATAGAAATCAGTGTTGTTTTGTGTTACTCCTTGTCATAGCCAATTCAGAGGGAAAAAAAGAGATGTCTTCTCTTGCTCGGGGGAGATTTGCAGTTTCCTGCCTCTGGCAATTTTTTGGGGTTTGGGTTGTTTTTTTATTGTGTGTGTGTATGTGTGCCTGTGTCTGAAAGTCATGGCGACCTCTGGCGACCCCTACTGGGGGCATGGAGGACATTCAGAGAAGTGGCTTGCTATTGCCTGCCTCTGCCTCCTGGCCCTGGTGTTCCTTGGAGGTCTCCCATCCAAGTCCTTGCCAGGGTCGGCCCTGCTTAGCTTCTGAGATCTGACGAGATCAGGCTTGCCGGGGCTGTCCAGGTCAGGGCCTCTAGGAATTTTTTTAAGACATAATTTTCATTAGCACAAGAGTGTTAAAAAGATGGTTAATGTGGTATATCCTAAGAACGCCACTTAAATAGATGTGGGGCATTCTTGATTTTTCAGCGACATCGTTACGAACATGAGGATTAGAAAAAACCCGCCGACACGGGAAGCCTTCCGGGCATCCAATCAGATTCAGTTCGATGAGGATGGGCGAGGCTATATGATTGACAGACACGCTTCTCATGGACCTACAGGGATGAAAAGGTATGTCTCCCAATGTTCTTCTGCATGACAGTCCAGTGGGCAATGATAGTCCAGGTGCCAGTGGGCGGTCTACATAACCCTACGCTTAATGAAGATTCTGCAGGGGAGATAATGCGTGATTTCCTGGGCATTCATTTTGAGCTCTCCCATCACTCTAGTTTCTGCACTTTGCTGAGGAGGAGGAGCAGTGTATTGATCTATTAATAATTTTATGAAGTCGCTTGTAAATAATTTGCTCATTTTTCATCAGTGTAGCCATCGTCTTATTATGACAGTTGGTTTTCAGAATCCAATATGCTTTCATGTTCAGTGCACCGTTTGATCAGACTGCAAGAAAACAGAATGTAAAGGGTGGGGGGAGACTGTTGCCCTTTATATTTATTACGTACACCTAGTTGTCGTCTTTACAGCCCCTCAAAGTAGCTAACAGGTGAAAAATATAAAATTCCAGGTCATGTCTTGGATCTGCCAGAGCATTTCTTTGGATGAAACAATTTCTGCCTGTGAAACATGACTTTCCTACCTCTCCCATTGGGCATTTGGGGCAGCAGTGTGTGTGTGTGTGTGGGGGGGAGAAAGTCACACTCCATGGACAGGAATCATTCCGTATGTCGAAACACTCCGGTGGATCCAGGCACATAGAACAACAATATTTGTGGTCATGGTGTCAAGTCCAGCTTGGAGCTGGCATAGCCTATAGCAGTGGTGGTGAACCTATGGCACGGGTGCAAGAGGTGGCACTCAGAGCCCTCTCTGTGGGCAAGTGTGCCATTGCCCCAGCCAGGCCCAGACCATCATTAAAGTGTCGAATTCTCTGCCAAATAATTTTAAGTAAATGAAAGCATTTGGGATTGCTTTCCTTACTTTGTTTGGATCCTCTTAAATTAATGTATGAGTGGTTTTTCCTAAAGCAAAACCTCAGTATTCAGGTTAAATGGCCGTGTTGGCACTTTGCGATAAATAAGTAGGTTTTGGGTCGCAGTTTGGGCACTCGGTCTCTAAAAGGTTCGCCATCACTGGCCTAGAGGTTAAAGGTATGAGCAAATGTAGAAATAAGATAAAGTGAACATGCCACTGTTGGCCTTGGTCCTCAATGATGTGCCCAGTGCAACTTTGTGTGTTGTGTGTATGTTAAGTACCATCAAGTCGCTCCTGACTTATGGAGACCCTATGAATTAGTGTCCTCCAAAACATCCTACTGTTAACAGCCTTGCTCAGGTCTTGCAAACTGAGGACTGTGGTTTCCTTTATAGAGTCACTCCATCTCATGTTGGGTGAGTCTTGATCTTTTCCTGCCGCCTTCAACTTTTCCTAGCGTTATTGACTTTTCCAGCAACTCTCATCTTCTCAGAATATGCCCAAAGAACGATGGCCTCAGTTTAGTCATTTGCTCTTCCAGGGAGAGGTCAGGTTTGATTTGATCTAGAACCCACTGATACACCTTTCTGGCAGTCCACTGTGTCTGTCACACTCTCTTCCAACAACACACTTCAGATGAATCAGCCTTCTTCCTGTCAGCTTTCTCCATTGTCCAACTTTCACGCCCTTACATAGTAATGGGGAATCCTACGGAATGAATTAACACCAGCAACACATCCTTACACTTAAGGATTAGGATGCAGAAGAAACGTAACAAAACTTTAGGATACAGAAGAAACTTAAGTTGCAGGTTAGAAATATTTAACAGGTACCCTGTGCAAAATCGTCCATATTGCCAGAGCAGAATTTCAATTTTGAAAAGACCTGTTTATAGTTGCCTCCTCACCCAGAAGTGGAAATAGAATTTGTTCTGCGATCTTAACCAGTTTTGGGAAAAAAATAGCTGTAGTTGAGAATAAAGACGTGTTAGGTTGGATCCCACAAATCCCGTTTGCTAGTGCTGGCGCTCTTCTCCAGCCCAAGGGGACTTCCCACCTGCACAAGAGGCTCTTCTTCCAGTGGAGAAACCCTCTTGAATTCGCCAGCTGGGTGAGAGACTTCTGGAGGAAATGGCCACCCCAGTGGAATGGATCCACAATATTCAGCCCTTTGTCCAAAATCTATCATATCTTGATTTCCATTTGCTGATCGCTGGAAGGCAGGAAAGAATGAATAGCACAGCAAGGTGTGAGAGGAATTTTCTGTAGTTACGCTTGGCGGCAGTGAAGCATCAACAAAGCAAAGTCAGTGTGGTATCTGGATCTGTGCTACGCACCGTTGGGCGGAGTTGTCAGACGGGTTCCTGACACAATGGCTGTGACGTTCTCTGGGGCCCTGACATTTGTTCTTAAAATGCAAAGTCTATTGTCCTTGCCTGCAGGTTCTCTTTCCAGCTTATGACAACAGATCCTGTCCGAGCATTGGGCAAATAGGGCAACTTGTTTGAAATCGGTGGCAGCGGCTGCTAGTGCTGGAGGGAGACATTTACCCAGCTAAATATGGGGTTGAAGCCAAAGGTTGTTCTCTGCCGATGGAGGGGTGTGTGTGATTTTCACTTGTTTCCCTTCCTTCTGCAGACCTCCACCCCCCCATTTTTCCTGAGGGTTCCTTGTTCCCCCCAGGAGCCTCACTTTGGGGAGGTCACTAGGCTGAAAGGGGTGGGGAGATTCACTTCTACTAATAAGCGTGCCTTCCATTGGTAGAAAACATCACTTAAATCCAACACATATGGAAAGAACTGGTGAGTGTGTAGGTTTGCCCATGAATGACCTACCGGGATTTGGGTGTAGATCCTTGAGTAGCTCTTGGCGGCAAATCCTCCTTTCCTGCTCTACAGGATGCTACCGAAATGGGGTTTCTTCATATTGTTGTTGTAAACCTAGGAAGTACCTTTAGGGCTGTATCTAATGTGTCGTCTTAAAAAAAGAAAGAAAGATCATTAAAATCCTGAACCAAGAATAGCTGAATTCTGTAATCCATGCAAGATGAGTAAAGCTGCCTTTTTGTTTTTAGTTTGCATGATTTAGTCTCTTATCGCTAGACATGGATAAGGGCTAAGCCTTATACAGGATACTGAATCCCATCCCCAACAATTGTGAATTTCTTCAGCTGCCTCACTTGTTTCTATTCCACTTTTACAGCTGCTTTTCATGGTGGGGGGATAAGAACATAGATGATTAAGTGTGCATTTTGCCATTGCGTGGAGATGTACACATATTTGTTTCTGCCCTCTTGCCTTCCACGCAGTACAGGCAGCATCCTAAATAGATCCTCTGTGCAGGACATGCTAAATAGTGAACTTCTAAATGATGCAAAATTTCTCTCTCTTCCTTTAAACCTAGGAGAGGACTGTTTTCAGGAAAAAGACTTGATATTTTCCCTGTTCCTCCTTCTCCTGCACCAGAGGGAGCCCTTGAAGCAGGTTAGTAGAACTTGATATTTTCCCTGTTTCTCCTTCTCCTGCACCAGAGGGAGCCCTTGAAGCAGGTTAGTAGACAAGTGTTTAACAGCCAGCCAAGTAGATTATTTGATGTAATAAAATTCACCCACTGTCCTGTGAAAGTTTCCTGTGAACTGGAGAAGGAGCAGGTAAGTCAGTTTCTTGATGGAAAAATCAGGCTGCACAGTGGAACAGAAGACTGGACTTGTGTGTGCGTGTGTGTGTGATTGTTTGCTTGTCTACAACCTGTGAAGGCCACATGTTTTTTGTATAGTAAACTAGACAGCTGTGAGTTTTAATAATATCGTTTGCAGAGAGTTAACAGACGTTGACAGAATCTGCATTGGCTTCCATAGAAATGTTGGAACGCCAGCCCCGTAGATGATCAAGTGAGATGTGTCCACTGGACCCCTCTTCCGTCATTCAGATTGACTGAGAGCCCATCTGAGCGCCATAGCACCCGCTCCTTGGCTTGGCCTCCGTTTTCTGGAGTCAGCCGTTCACGATTGCCGCTCTTTCTGGCCTCAGACCGGTTGCCCCATTTCAGCTGAGATCCAGTCCCTCCTTTGCCACGCCAGCAGTGCTTCTTCTTTCAATGCTCGGCACATTTCAGAGAGACAGCCCTCACGCCAGGGGAACCTTACTGCTTGCCATTTGAACTGAGGAGCAGGGTTTTTTTGGATTCTGAGCTTCAGGTACAGAATCCAGATGCCTCGGGTCATAGAGCAAAAGTTGTGTCTTTGCAGTGTGCGTTCGGGATGGTATCCTTGCGGGCCTCTCCTCTACGTCTGCCTTGGAGCTCTCTCTCATAAACTTTTGAGGGGGGGGGAAATCTACAGCTGTTCAAGTGCAGCTTGCATCAGTATATATTACCAACATTTTCACCAAACCATCACAGCTAAATGGTTTTCCACGTTTCCGATCCACTACAGACATCTAGAACGCAATTGCCCATGTTGTTTCAGCTTTCTTTTTTTTGAAATGCATTCTTTTAAAGAGCCGTTTGTTTATTTTTTTTCTCTCTGTAGTTGTTCAGATCATTTTGGGGTTTTTTAATAAACAATTTTTATTTTATATAAGAGAAACAAAAGAGCAACAAACAAACATACATACAGAACAGGGGGAGCCCCATTTATTTTGTCTGTTAAGTTACCTCATACATTAGCAAGTTATATTTTTTATTTTCTCCACCTTGTATTTTAGACTAAATCTTTGTTCAGAACTAAAAAGAAAGTTATAGTTCATATTTCCTTGTGCTTCAGTTCTATCAGATCATTTTGAATAATTTATTTATACAAGCGGGCTCAGGGCGGGTGACAATGATGGAAATACAAAATCATCAAAACAGTTTAACAATAAATAGTTACAGCAGTTAAAATAGCAAGTAATGCAGTACTAGAGAATATATAAGGTTTCAGCCGTACTGAATGATTAAAACCAACCAGGCCCTCGAACCAGGAGCAATGATAGATCTCCTTAAAGGTGTTGCAAATCCAATTGGGGGGCTCCAGCAAGGGAGGCCAGATGTCTGGGCACCCACCACCTCAACCAGAGGCCTGGTGGGACAGCTCCATTTTGCAGGCCTTGTGAAACCGCAATAGGACCCTCAGGCTCCTAATCTCAGACAGGAACACGTTCCACCAGGCTGGGGCCAGGACCTGATAGTTACTGTGACGTCCTCGCTTATTGGGGAGACTGTTTCTCCTCTAAACACACTCTGTGTACATGAACTTGGTAGATTTCTGCTGCCACCAGGAATTAAAAAATCCAACTCTCTCTATTTTGGTAGAATGACCCAGGCGCTTCAGAGAACTATGGCCCTGAGGAAGGACTGTTCTGATTGCTGGGATAAGTTTAAACAAATAATGATTTATTTATTAAAGAACAAAATAGGTTTCTGGGTATTTTTGAACTGTTGAAGAAAGAAAATATAACTGACGAGGCTTGGTGTCACACACAGTCTCTCATACACCAAAACTCAACTCTGACAGGCTTATATCTCTCTCACATATAGCCACACAGGCTACTCTCTTGCTCATATATAGCCACACAAGCTGAACTCTCTCTCTCATATATAGCCACACAGGCTAACTAAACTTCAACTGCTTCCTCTGTCATACAGACTCTCACAAAAAACTCTCCACACTCGTCTCTTCCAGAACACAGAATCACCTCATAGAAATCTCTCCTCCCACACTCTGTCATCAGCCAGTCACATCACACTTGTCTCCCTCTATCACTCTCCGTACCTTACCTGCAGTCAGGGGTCTTTTGGGGCCGGAGAGCCACTCCGGCAGCCCAGGAGCCCGCACTAATGGCGGCGGTGGCAAGCCCCGCCCCTAGCTCGCCATGTTTCAGCTCGGGGGAGGCTGGAGAGCCGCGTCACCCGGGTCCGTGCAGGAGCACTGTGGCTTGGGGGACAGCAGGAGAGCCCCGCCTCCATGTCTCCCAGGCCATGCAGGAGTGCTGTGGCTTGGGGACGCCAGGAGAGCCCCACCTCCGTGTTCCCTGGGCCCGCGCAGGAGCGCTGCGGCTCGGGGGACGGCAGGAGAGCCCCGTGTCTCCCAGGCCGCGCAGGAGCATTGTGGCTCGGGGACGCCAGGAGAGCCCCATCTCCACGTCCCCCGGGCCCGCGCAGGAGCGCTGCGGCTTGGGAGAGGGCAGGAGAGCCCGTCGCCGCGTCTCCCGGGCCACGCGGGAGTGCTGCGGCTCGGGGGACGGCAGGAGAGCCCCGTCTCCGCATCTCCCTTTCCCTCCTTCTTCCCTTCTCTCTCTTTCTTTCCCTCCTTTTCTTCTTTCTCATGCTCTTTCCTTCTTTCTTTCCTTCTGTCTACTCTCTCTCTTTCCTTCCCTCTTTCCTTGATCTGTGGCCCAACTCTAGTGAGAAGGGGTTTAAACTTTAAACTTTAAACCCCTTCTCTCTTCGCTCCCCCCCCCCAACTGGGGAAGGGAAGGGGAGGCTTTTGAAGATGCCTCCCCCCCCTTTTGCTTCCCCTTCTGACATCACTTCCAGTGATGTCAGGGGGCGTGGCATATGCTAATAGCCCAGTAACTCATTAGCATACCATATGCTAATGAGCTCCTGCAGCTCTTTTTCTACGAGAAGACCCCTGCCTGTCGTCACACTAAACATTTAAAGAAACACACACACCAAAATATGGAATCATTACAGTTACCTAGTCAGCCTTTCTGTGCTGTTTAATTGTGTGTATGGGATATGTGTGTGTGTGTGTCTTTTTTCTATACAAGGGAGCTAGATTCTGGAGCACAATCCAGAGAAAGATCTGTCCAACATAACTACTTGACAATGTGCTTCAGTCCTGTTGTGCTCAAATTTGGGATCGTCACTGATTCATACTGGAAATATTGAAGCGTACAACTGGGATTCCTGTTAATCATCCGAGTCTTCAGGATGCTATTCGGCAGCCAAAAATGGAGGTTATGAAGGGGAGAAAAATGATGCACTGAAATAGCAGTTCCCTCGTTTTAACATTTTGAGCTGGGGAGTAAGTTTGTTTTCATGATCCGCCTGACACTACATGGGATTTTCTTTCAGCAACACAACATGTTTAATTAAATGTTTGCTTTGTTTTCACCCCGCCTTTGCCCCCCAATTGGGGACCCCAGTTGGCAGCTGACATTGTTCTCCTCTCCTCCCATTTTGTCCTTGCAACAACACTGTGAGGCAGGACAGGCTGAGCGTCTGTGACTGGCCCAAGGTTGCCCAACCAGCTTTCATAACGAGGATTTGAAGCGGAGTCTCTCCTACCCTAGTCCGACCCTGTAACCGCTACACCGCACTGACTCTGTTTCTGAATTCTGGATTTGTTTCTGTTCATATATTTTGCCATCTTCGGCGAACAGCCATTTTTTGGGCAGCTGTGACTTGCCGATATTTATGTTTTCTGACACAGTGACGAAACCCAACATTTGGGACGTGGAGCTCGCCAAAGAAATCACCGCGGTTGGTCAGCGACCCCCTCGGAACGCTTTTGAGGAGATGATAGAGTGGACAAAAAAAGGAAAGCTGTGGGAGTTTCCAATTAATAATGAAGCTGGTATGTGTCCTGAAAAACATCTCTGTGGGCCTAGCTTAGTTTCCTGATATCTTGTGCGGGAGGTGCGGGGGGGGGGGGGTCTTTCTGGGCAAGTCCAAGATGCGGTGCCCCTTCCGATCCTGAGCGGCACCAGCAGAGCCTCTCTGGAGGAAGGTAAGTTCCCCATGTCCTTCTTTGTACTGAAACCTTCTCCCCTCCCAACCCCCAGTCAGGTCCCTGTGGGTCAGTGGACCAAAAGGAAGAGTGTGGAGGCCCAATCAGGAGTCTGCAGGAGAGGGAAATCAGCAAAAGCCACACCCTCTCCTCCTCTGCAAACAAAAACAATTCTGTCCTACCGGAGGAGCTGTGGCTGCTGTGCTGACCAATAGGGCCCTTGGATCCAAGCTGGTTCATTGTTCTGGAAGTCTCCTATCGGTTCAGGGACTTGTTTCCAGTCACTCTCCTATCTTTGTTTCTCAGTCATTGAAAGCCCTCCCACGTTCGCCTAAGAGTGATGGGTACTAATTTTAAACAAACAAAATCTTCTCATTGACATTTTAGGCCATTTCTTTGAGGAACAGGGAAGCTATCTTAAGATACCCGTCATCATCAGGAGTCATTATTTACTCTAAAACCCCCCCCCATCCCTGCATAAGCTGAATTGTCATGTTGTGACTCAGCCAAGAAGTCCAAGAGCAACAGGCAGGGCTGAGGCTGAAGCCTGTCCCTGCCAGGGCGCGTCCAGGCAGGCGAGGTTTAGATCCGTCCTATCGGAGCGTAGAAACAGCAGGAAGGAAGCGCATGCCGGTAACGCTCAGGGCAGGCCTCTGCAGCCGGCGAGCCACGGACGTTGCTTCCTTGAGTGCCTCTGCCACCACAGACCGTGTCGCCGTTCGTGTGCTTAAGGATGAGTCATCAAGCGACCTACGTCTGTGAATCAGTTATTAGTCACAAGCAGGGTCAACTGATACAGACGAGAGCACAGGAGGTCACTGTGAAGCAAAGTTTGAGTAAGCAGGAGTTATGTAGCAGACACAATTGCGTTGGCGGGGATTTGCCTTTGACGGGAGCCTAAAATCCCACTGAGCCAGAAACTCCACCACCGCCCCGCCTTTTTGTGGCTCCACATATTCCGTGTGCCTTTCGGGATTCTCTAAAAGCCCTGTGCGGCCTGGTACCACCCTACCTGTGGGACCCGCCTCTCCCCGTATGAGCCCCAGTGAGCTTTACGCTCTTCTGATCAGCACCTCCTGGTGATCCCCGGCCCGAGGGATGTCTGCTTTGCCCCAACCTGGTGGAACAGGCTCCCACCCCAGATCAGGGCCCTGGCGGGACCTATGACAGTTCCGCAGGGCCTGTAAAACGGAGCTGTTCCGCCAGGCTTTTGGTTGAGGTGGTGGATGTTCAGCCATTCTGCCCCCCCCCCCTGTTCATGGCCCCTTCCCAGTGCCTTGCTGTTGTAGATAATACTGTTGGGCACTGGAGCTTCTGGGGTACCTCTATCCATCTGATATGAGACACGGGGTTTGCTGTTATTGTTTATTGTGCCATCTATTGGTTTTATTGGTTTCATTGTTTTTACTGTTCTATGGATTTTATGTTGTAAGCTGCCCTTGTGGGATAGGGCGGGGAATGATGATGATGATGATGATGATGATGATGATGATGCCAAAGTTCTAGCAGGTAGAGAAGCATTCTGACCATCCCTTGGATATGTTCAGTCCAATCTGCCATGGACCTGGCCATTTTGGTGAGGGTACCATGCTGGAGACACTTTAGGATAGGCGGATGGACGAAACAGGTGGTAGAGCTGCCTTGCTTCTGAAAGGTACCAGGATTTAGGAAGTCCATCTGCCTAGTGGATGACGGGATAATTTTTTTAAAAAAATCTCTATCTCTTACCAGTGATTGGTGTGGGAGAAGACATGGGGGCCTGGATCCAGACTAGAAGTTCTGTGGGCGCATCCAGTGTGCTTTTCCCACCTCCCTTTCCCTTGGCAGCCCCAAATGCCCCCCCCTCAGAATCCTGTCCCTGAAGGAGAGAGTGCCCCCAGGAGCAGGTTATTTGGAGGGGTTATTTGGGGTTCCACTGGGAGGGGGAAGTGGGTCTGCAGGCAGAAGTCCTTGCCTCCACGATCTAGTCTGGATCTGGAGCAGTCGGAGGACATTTGGAGGTGATTCTCTCAAACCCGTTTTTTTTTTTTAAAGGAGATAATGCCAAGTTTGTTTCAAGTGAATGAACTTGAATATGGAACAGTTATGCTTCAAAACCCTTTCCCAAAGGATGATCTCAGTTTGGCGGATGGCTAAACTTTTGGCTATTTGAACTGCCTCTCGCACAAGTTAGCAGAGTTTCTTGCAGGTCTAGTCAAGGATCCGTCATTTTTAGTGAAACAAATGGATCGAATGAATTTAAGTAATGATATGAGTCCAGCAGCACCTCACAGACCAAAAGGATTGTCAGATAAGAGGGGAGCTTTGATTCCCTCCAAATCTTGTCGTTCTCCAAGATTCTGCTGGACTCTAACCAAGTTGTTCCAACTTCAGGCCGACATGGCTACCCTCAAAAACCATCTTCTAAAATAAATTGGGTAACTTAAAAGTATGCACATGTTCTTGCTGCAAAAATTAAGGACGTCTTTTTCAGTTTTCAAAACACGTTTATTGACATGCCCCCTCCAAAGGAACCCCCAAGCCTTCCCCATAGAAGGCTATAGCCTATTTTGAACTTGCATTCCGTTAGTCCTTTCCTATATTTCTTTTCTGGTCGGTCAGTTTTACGATGATTTAAGTCGTTATTGTGATTGCTTTGTTAGGTTTAGAAGAGGACGCTGAATTCTATGAACATCTGTTTCTGGAAAAGCACTTGGGAGATTTTCCTAGGGAAGGACCAATTCGCCACTTCATGGAGCTCGTCACCTGCGGACTTTCTAAAAATCCATACATGAGTCTTAAAGAAAAGGTGGAATATATCGATTGGTTCCAGAATTACTTTAAAGAAAAAGAAGAGCTGCTTAAAGAAATTGAAGCACACGAGAAGGAATTGCTTCTTGAAAGAGAGAAGGTAGCAGAGTGATGAAAACCCTTCCGTGAAAAAGAAAACAAAGGACTTTTGTTGTTGGTACATATTGGATAGTTTATACAGTCCAGTCTGGAAAAAGGGATGAATATATGAAAATAGTTTTAAAAGCCTCTCACACTCAGAGAAGAAGGTGGTTTGTCATTAAGCCATATCGATATTGATAAGGGTTTGTAATTCTGTTTCAGACAAACTAAGTGGAAGTTTATGTTGTCTCCCTCCCTCTGCTCATTCTGTTGTATCATATTGTTCAATCTTCCCTGTTCATTACTTAAATACATTTGGAGGCGGAGAAGGAAAAAAATCTCTATTCTTACAGATTCTCATTCACTCTCAGCCAAAGCTTGCGCTTCCATGGCCATTTTTTCTCCCAGCGTGAGATCCAGTTTAGTTTTCTTCTCAACTTTTCAGTGTAATTCACATGGGAGTGAATCCTAAGAAAGGCCAAACACGTCTTCAAGATTGTGAACCTGACTTTTGGGGTCTGGTAAAACCTCTTCCATATGTTTAAAACAGTTGTGTAGTTCTTACGAGCTTTCCTGCAACTTCCCAGTAACGTTATTTCACAGGCAGGCAACGGGTTTTTGGCCCAGCTGCCGAAAAACCAACGCCTATTTTTATTATTTATTATTTGCTTTCAATTTGTATCCCGCCTTACCGGTATGAACTGGCTCAAGGCGGCTTACACTGTTAAAATACAATAAGACTAATAAATACACTAAAATTACAATAAGAACAATTACATAAATGCCTACCTGTGAAGATGTTGGTCTGCCGGCAAATAAAATGTGGGTGGGCTTGTATTTGGCCCGACATGTAAGCAAAGTCCCGTCAACGTTACCAGAATCTCCTGGATTTGCTTTGGACTGTGCAGGTCTGGGAGGCAATACTGGGCGTACGCCATGCCCATTGACTTCTCCTGCACTACTGGCCCTAGCAGTGCTGCTGCCAGTGTCTGTTGCTTGGGCAGAAAACTGGCCTTGGACGCCAAGAAAAATGGGCTGGTGTGCCACTGTTGGCACGCCTGCCTTATTTTGATCCCGCTTTGGCTCATGTACCCACATCAAGTTAACCTTGCTTGCCAAAAAATGAGATCACGGCCAAATTTGCTGCTCCTTGGCCTGATGACATTGGGAAGGAGAGCTGGAAGATCTAACTCACCAGCTCCATATAAATACGAACTGATGAACTGGCGGGGGGAGAGTGCATAGCATAGATGGTGCTACATTTCCTGGCCCCATTTATTACCTTTCTGGGTGCAGTCAAGGAGATGGCATCTGAATTCAAACCAAATTTCATCTGTCCCAAAAATCTGGCAAGGGCTCCAGTACTTCTCCGCTTCTGAAAGCTGTGAAATTTAGGAAAACCAGTACTGCTTTCAGCCTCATAGCTGGGGCGACCGGCTTGCTACTGCTAGGAGAAGGGTCAGCATATTCAGCACAAACACTGTGCCTGACTCCATAATGAACACAGAGAAGAAGAGGAGATTCACTTCACTTGGAGTCTCATAGCGGCTTACAAACTCCTTTCCCTTCCCCTCCCCACAACAGACACCCTGTGAGGTAGGTGGGGCTGAGAGAGCTCTGACAGAAACTGCTCTTGAGAGAACAGCTCTGACAGAAGTATGACTTGCCCAAGGTCATCCAGCCAGGTGCAAGTGGAGGAGTGGGGAATCAAACCCGGTTCTCCCAGATCAGAGTCCTCGCACTTAACCACTACGCCAAACTGTAGTAACGAAGCTGTGGGTCAGTGATAGAACACCTGCCTTGTATACAGAGGTTCCCAGGGCTTCTTCCTCAGGTAGTAGGTGAGACCCTGGCAGGGGGCAGTCTTAGCCACAGGGCAACGGGGGCAGCTGCCTTTTGCTCGGGGGGGGGCAGCCCAGAGGTCTCCTCCATTCAGAGAGGACAGTAAGGGGCGGCCAGTCAGCTGTTCAGTGGTGAGTCTCCCTGATGCCAGATTGCAGCCTATCAAACAGTGCCACCAGTGAGCCGGCGGGGGCTGCTGTGCACCTTCCACCCCCCCCACCACAGGTATTCTTGGGGCCACATCCTAGAGTATTGGTTAGGCAGTGCTGAGACTGATAGACTGACGGTCTGATGAGACCATAAAAGCAGTGTCACCTGCGCATGCCGCTCTGTTGCCGTGCTCGATGAGAGCTGCATTCAAGAGATCACTGGATGGCCAGTCGCTGCTTGCTTTAGGCAAGTTATGAAGGGCAAACCTCGTTTCCGCATTCAGTTGTATCCATTAGAAATCAGTTTCTCACCTTATCTCCATTACGTAATCGCTTGAGGCAGTGAAGCGGAGTGATCCATCAAAGCAGTCTGCCATGTTCAGGTGATGAAATTATAGCTTCCTTTCTATCATAAAGCATGTAATGATGATTCAGAGCTCTGGGAAACCAATGCACCAGATCGCCAAGTTAAATGATTGTGTGTAGGCACATGTAGACAAAAATCCAATTCTTGTGCCAAGAAAACCCACTTGAGTTCCAAATATGCAAATTAGTCACTTTATGCAAATGTGCTTATTTGGATAAAGTTTCTCGATAGGTTTGCTTAATGTGGGTCTGATTTAGAACTGTTTGTGGACCTTGCATTGTGGTGCAGGGAAGTGAGCTTGTAAGCACAGAGTGATGGTTTATTTATTTTAAACATTTTGATGCTTCCTTTCCACCCGTTCAGGATCTGTGGGGGGGGGGACTGGTTTGTTCTTCATGGGAGAGTGAAAGAGGATGCAGTTTCTTAAGAAGCTTAACATCGTTTCCCTGCCCCCTGAGGATGAATGGGGATTTGGGATTTCTTAGTCACACTTCTTAAGAGTTAACGGTCTCAGCAAGATCTGGGACTCCTTATTCATTGCAAGTGTTAACTAGCTTAGCCGAAGCGGTGAATGGTCTAATGAAGAAAAGTACAGAGATTTGAATTTTAAACATAATCACATTTTACAGCACAGTATGCATTTCACTCAGTGTTGCTACAAGATTCTGAATACCCAGCCCTTTGAAATTCTTCAGTCATTTATAAAATATTACACATTTAATTTTAAAATGTTTTGCCATCAATAGAAACCACAGGCAGCAATATTTAAACAGGAAACATTGTGTTTAAATGGGTACCATTATCACAGATCTCCAGGCCTCCTAAATATGGAATTGCAGCAGTAGTATAAGGGGAACAAATACTACTATGGCCAGAGTAAAGGATATTCTCTGATTCTATGGAAATCCTAACCAATGTAAAGGGACAGCTCACTAGATGGCGAGATGCAGCCATTGCTCAGGCAGATTTGCTAGGAGGCAACCACTTGCCTAGGACTGCATCTCTGCTAACAGTCTGAAACTCAGATTTATGTGTGGTTGGGGTGGAAGGTGATGACTTACAGAACCCTGACTTAGAACTAGGTAAAGGTAAAGGTTTCCCTTGCTCGAAAGCCAGTCGAATCCGACTCTAGGGTTGTGGTGCTCATCTCCGTTTCCAAGCCGAAGAGCCAGCGCTGTCCGAAGACGTTTCCGTGGTCATGGGGCCGGCATGACTAAATGCCAAGGCACACGGAACGCTGTTACCTTCCCACTGAAGTGGTACCTATTTATCTACTTGCAATTTCTTGCTTTCGAACTGCTAGGTTGGCAGGAGCTGGAACCAGAGATGGGAGCTCACTCTGTCATGCAACACTTGGGTCTCGAACTACTGAACTACCGACCTTCCAGTCTGCAGTTCAGCGTCTTAACCACTTGAGCCACCACAGACCTGCCTTCCAAACTCTTAGTGGCATTCCTAACGCTGTTATTAGACCGGGTGCTCATTACCTGCTGGCATTTTCTGTATTTTCAAACACAGAATTCGAAAGGGAAGGAAATGTTTACAACAAATTTAACTTGTCTTTGTTTTCTGTTATTCAGTTTGGTTCACAATGTAAAGTGTGTTCCTTTTAATGGATTTAAGTGTATTTCCCACTAATTCAAAAAAAATGCAACGTTAGATGAAATGGCATACTGTTCCCTATAGCACCCCCAAAACTCCTGTTCCCTCAAGAAAGGGAATTATAGATCACCTGCCTCAATCTAGAGGATGCAAGAAGAGAGGATATACACAACAGCAAAGTAGCCATTGATCCTAATAGAATCTGGCCACTGTAAATACTTCCAGTTCAAGTATTTCCAGAAACCTGCATTCCTAGTATGAGCTTCAAACTCATTTATTTATTTTATTCAGAACATTTTTATGCAGCCTTTCCAGGAAACTGCATGAGCCAGCTTTCAAAATAAAAGTAATTTTAAAAACATGATAAGGTATTAAGTTAAAATCCAGCATTAAAAATCCCCAGCCCAGTGTAAAAATATAGTTTTTGTTTGTTTGTTTTGGAAAAGAGTTTATTTTCTCATAATTTATATATTAAAAAACCACACACACACACACACAAAAGGGGAATCTACCAAGTTAGTTGGCCCAGGTGGAACATTGCAAAGCTAGAGCACAGTCCTTTTATAAGTAATTACGCTTAGGATGGCAACAGCCATCAGTTCTAATGAAGGCAGGGTATCGTCTTGTGCGTAAAAACATAGTTAATAAAAACAGGCCACAGGCAGCTTAAAACAACAGTTCCCAGGCTAAAGTATTGTTTAAAAACCACCTCCTTAATTAAAAGCCCAAGAGAACAGAAGCAGGTGCCAGGTGAGCTGCAAGGCAAAGGGCATTCCGCAAGGGAAGTACCACTCCTGGAAAAGCCCTGCCTCACCTGTGAAGACGGGAGCAGGGAGACCAGGGCTCGTGAGGCAGATCTTAGCTTGCATTTCATTATATTATGTGACACCCCAAGCAGTTGCAATTGCTGTCTACTTTGAGAATCCAGACTACAGCAGATTTGCTGTGTTGTAAAAGAAAGAGATCAGCCCACGTAGATGCCCGTTTTCCATAACGTTATATAGCATGAGGTAAAGAGGTTAACTGGAGAAGTCACTTCTTACACCGCCTATTTTTATGGAATCGTTGATGAATGATGATTTTAAGTAATATATCATTTGGGAGCAGGATCAATGTAGTTATGGGTTTTTAAAAGGGATCCCAAATCAGCGCAGACTGTGACTGCAGCCATGAAATTAAAAGACGCCTGCTACTTGGGAGGAAAGCGATGGCGAACCTAAACAGCATGATAAAAAGTAGAGACATCACCCTGCCAACAAAAATCTGCATGGTCAAAGCAATGGTATTCCCAGTAGTCATGTATGGCTGCGAGAGTTGGACTATAAGGAAGGCCGAGCGCCGAAGAATAGATTGTTTTGAACTATGGTGCTGGAGAAGACTCTTGAGAGTCCCTTGGACTGCAAGAAGATCAAATCAGTCAATCCTAAAAGAAATCAACCCTGACTGTGTTGGCATATTGTATTATATGTATGCAAGATGACAGCCAATGATGCACACATGTCAGATTAAACTGATCTGGGTGACAGGTAAGACTGTCATGTGACAGGGTCACCAGATGCAAGTTGCACTAGGTTGCATCAGCTAATTAACTATGTCACCATGAGTTGGCAAAATGACTCTGATTGGTGCAAGTACTGTATATATGTAATGTAGTCCAGAGGCAAGTGTTCCACACCAGTG